ATACTCACTTATGGGTTTTTTTATGGTCTTAGCATTACTATTATGTCATCTTAATTTGATATTTTATGTGTAATTAAAGCCCTTTTTACTTTTCATTGGAAAGCTCAACTCTGATCGTCCTGATCGAATCAGCATTCCCTCCGATTGTAATGGCAAATAAATGTTTGCTTCATCAACAACCTCACTATAAGGCTGATTTAGGAGAGTCCTGGCTTGCCTTGAATATGATATCTATTCTGTGACTTATTGGCATTCATGGCTGTGTGGCGAAGTGAAAACTTGTTGCTACGATGCTTTAGAATTGATTTAGAATCCCTCTGGGAGTTCTAATATGATCAAGACTTGATTGTAATCGCAGTTCTGCCTTTAGTAAACAAGTCTAAGTGAAATTCAGTGGCTCAACGAGGCCCACTCATATCTTTCTGGGAGAATCTTTACATCCAGCGCTTAAATGATTAACCTCTCACTCAGATACAAGTTTTCAGAAGGCCCTCACTCGAGGGTCGGATTTTAGAACTTTCATAAGTGGGCATGTATAGTGATACTAGCATTCTTATCCCATCATCTTGGCTTCAGCAAAGTAGAGAACTTATTTTTAAATGATTCTCTAGCTTGCTCAAGCTAAATTCACCGTTATTCTGTGGGATAAATTGTCTTATGAGATGTATTCAAGCGTGGTTATATACTCGGCAAATAATAGAGAGGGCAAATGTAGAGTGTGGGAGTAACAAGACGTACTTCGTATTTAAGTAGTCTCGAGACTACCAGTAAATCATTAATATGAGATGAATCCAACCTATTTCGTTTGAAGTGATGAAGGACTGGTAGTAGAATTTTCCCAAAATGATATGAGTAGAGCTGAGGTTTTCATTGAATTTCACATAACCTTGCTTTCCCAAAAGTTGTTCTGATCTAGGGTGGACTGCAGTTTCGACCTCGGATCAATCTTATCAACACCTTCAGCGGGAGTCGAACCGTGACAGTGCAGAATTCGAGCTTGAGACGTTAACCACTCGGCCATATTGCAACGAGTGCCCTTGGGTCACAGGGCAGATGTGAATTTCAAGGAAGGCCAGGCTTTTTACCATATCATATTCTTTGGTAGAATTATTATAGCAAACGTATATTTGCTATAACAATCGACTACGTTACTTATTTTTTGTATCTAAGTAGAGTTTCGAGACTACAAGTAAATCAGTAATATGATATGTATTTACCCTATTTCCTTTACGGCGATGAAGGACTGGTAGTAGAATTTTCCCACTACGATATGATTGGAGCTGACGTTTCCATTGAATTTACATAGACTTGCTTTCCCAAATAACATGATATTGCAAAAGGCCTGGCCTTCCTTGAAATTCATATTTACCCTGTAGCGCTCGTGGCAATGTGGCTGAGTGGTTAACGTGTTAAGTTCGCATTGTGCGCTGTCACTGTTCGACTCCCGCTGGGGGTGTTGATAAGACCTATGTGAAGTCGAAACTGCAGTCCACTCTGGATGAGAACAACTTTTGGGAAGGCAAGAATATGTGAAATTTAATGGGAACGTCAGCTCTACTCATATCATTGTGGGAAAATTCTACTACCAGTCCTTCGTCAACTTAAACGAAATAGGGTGAATTGATCTCATATTACTGATTTACTGGTAGTCTCGAGACTACTTAAATACGAAATATGTCTTGTTTCCCCCCACACTCTACATTTGCCCTCTCTATTATTTGAAGAGTATATAACCACGCTTGTAACGAGGCCGAGCCTCATTAAATAATTAAACTATTTTTTGATTAGTATTTGTTTCTTTCTGAGTCGACTAAGAATTCTGAACTTCCTTCTTGTTGATGAGAAATTACTAAGAGGGAAATTTGAAGTTGGACTTCATTCCATGCTTTCTTGTCTTTTACCATTTTTTGTCTTGTATGTAACAAATATGACACATTTGTCTTTCCTATTATCAACATAGCAATGTCTTTTTGCCCGAATAAGGCTTCTGACAGTCCCAAAACCTGGTTTCGCATTATTTAATCTATTCTACTTGATCTTCTTACCTACTAGGCTTCCTTTACTTCCCCCACATCTCTTATCGACATATACTCTTACTTTTATCCTGCTCACCGGATAATCTGTTTTAGCATCACATCAATTTTGAGACTTTATGATCTTTGTGTATGCGCGGCTTGTTGCCTCATCATCAACGTCGCCGTAATTTACATTTGTACTAAATTAATAGAGAAGCATGGTCACTCTAGAAGGATTGGGTTTCGAAGACTTTTCTAATTATTTAATGCCTTTAAGCCTTTCATTTAATTTGCAAAAGTCAGATTGAGAATATTAGAGAATGTAAACAATTGGAAAATGAAGTAGGGTTATTTTGTATCGAAAAATCTTTCACACCGCTCTTCAGGGCTTAGTGGCTTTGGGCTAATAGCTTATTTTTTGCCTTGACAATAAATAAAGACAATGCGGATATATTAGTCACACGACAGCGCCACTTATAATAAGACGAATTGTTCAGTGACACAAATCTCACCTCATCACGGCCACACAATACTTTCACCAATGTAAACACATCCTCGCTAGCCACTCATGCTAAAGTTCCCCTTCTAATTGGATGTGAACACAAACCACTACGAGCAGTTACTGCACGTATGGTTCTGATGCACTCAGGCTCCCTTGAAAACGCACCGCCCTTTTCAGTTGGACCTAACATTTTCCATTTACCTCTCGCATCACTACATTTTTCATCGAATCCAAGGCCAACATATGTATGAAAAATCTTGCTCTGCCTCAGTGATATTTGATTTCGTGTCAAAATCTCTTTGTTGAGCAAGTCCCTTGGTTTTTATCTTTCCGTTTTAGTGGAGGCAAACACCTAACTGTAATGGATGTTCCCGTCATATTTTGCCAATTAACACCCAACATCTCTTTTTTCTAGTTACTCTGTGTACACACATCTTAACGGTCTTACTAATTATTTGTTTTACTACCTCTGAAATGGGGCTAAACGAATTGTTTGCCTTTTTTTCTCTTCATCGTCTTCTCTTTTCTCCCCGCTCTCCACATATCTGTCTACCTCTCTCGGGGTTGCTTCCGTCCTCATCGTGCCTGCACCTTCAGGTTCCTGTCGATGACCTCTATGAGGCCAGTCAGGCTCTCATTAAAGCGCTTCTCTTGCGCCAGAAGTACATGAACTTGTCACGCCAGCACTACCACCGCACCACAGCACGCTACCTCAGCATGCTGGTCAACAACGAGCCATTCTATCAGCTAGACAACCAAGATCGTATCTACAATCTGGTGCACAGTCCGGCGTATGGTATGCAGTGCTTGAGAGATTAATCTGAAAGATTTATATGCATGGAGGTTGGGTCATAGCTTCTGTAATTGTTTTTGCAGGGCTTCTTTAGCTTCATCGGGACTCAGACGCACTTTATTGCTTTTGAAGTACCTTTCATTTCTTTTGAAGAGGAGAGTAGAAGGCCCTAGTAAGTTGGCCTCACCGGAAGCTGTAGAGGTATTGCCTTGGAGCTGCGATTGAACATTGTGCGAATAGGTCCTCAGCGCAACACTCTGACTAACCCTTGTTGAGCTTTCGTCCATCATGAGACGGACATCCTCAGAGCAGGACATCATCTATATTGATTATCTTATATGTGATAGTGTCATCTAAAGTCTGCATCATTTTTTCTACATAGCTCAACCTATCCAAAAAATGATGCATTCTTTGTTTGACACCACCACATGCAAGGTTATCAGTAAGGACCCTACAGAAACCCTTAAGTTTAGACTCAGGAGCTGCCTTGCAGCATTGTATAGCAAACGTGGAATTGAATGAGTAGAAGATGATCACTCTTCTTTAACGTGATACCTCCGAATGTATATGGCCTGTCTAAAATACATGAGAATGGATTGTGGAATTATTTTGAATAATAAGGGAAGCGTGATGAACACAACATCATGATTTGTTTGTTACCAGTTAAGGCAAATATCCGGGACGTGGAAGGTTTGAGTTAAGAATTCTTATGAATTAGTTAGTTTAGTCGACGAGCAGGAGATAGAAAATGGTAAGTTTTGACGATGCCATACAGGCCCTGCAATCCTTACTAGACCGACACACGAAGATCTCAGGGAGTACGAAGTAAAGTAAAGTGTCAATAATGATAGTGACCAACTTGGCGATGTGCTGTACAAATGTAACCTTACGAACAAACACGAGGGTTGTGTTTGTCACCAATTTTAGCAAATAATTACTTGGCTAAATTAAGGGAAGGTCTTATTTATGAGGCACTTTTAGCCCCTAAATTATTAGCTCGCTATATGGACGATTACTTTGATGTTTGGCAGCATGGCAAAGAAAACCTGGACAATTTTCTTAGTTTGATAACAGGATAGATGGAAAGACGAAATTCATCCTCGAGCATAGTAGTATGGTCGATTGTAATGCCAAATATGAGTTTACTTGACCGACACTACGCATTTGCGATTTATGACGAGCCTGGCTTGCCTTGAAAGGCGCATCTGCCATTAGGCGGCCATTGGCACCCATGCTCTTAGTAAAGATCTACTGATACTTTCAAGACATCCTGTCAGAATATAGTTCAAACTACTTCGGCATATTGCTGGCACCTCACCATTTAGCATTTTATTGTCACCACTTGGTAGCTTTCAAGTGCTTATTCAGGTTAACTTATGCCATTAGCTCGTGAATTTAGCAATAAAGTAAATGGTCACAGGATCCAAAATGTTTTTGCCGAATTTCTTACATGAGCTTATCACGCCAAGCTGTGCCAAATAGGTTTGCGAAACTATGCTTATTCATTCAATCGACGTTAGTTCATGAGTCTAAAAACAATGAATTGGAACCAAATTTCGAGAAAAAATATATTGTGAGGTCACTCGGCAGTATTGTATACTTTTCAATTCCTATTAATTCCAGAAATTCTTAGGTGGATGATGATATTAATCGAAGGTAATTCAAGTTTATTGGCTTACGGAAAACAGTTTCTGTTAAGAAGTGGGTTAACCTCGTTGTCGAAACTTGGTCTTGTTTTCAGGGAGATCATGGAGAACGCACCTAGTCCGAAGTCGTCTGCCATAGTAGTTGTCATAATTCCAAGCATCTGACAGTGGACTTGATACATTCTCGAACGTTTCGCCGGCATCGTAGTCGGCATCATCAGTAAGTTTTGCCATTCGCCGCACCAAGCTACGAACTCGTGAAAGAGACAAGTGAAGCG